ATATAACTTACCATTGCATATATATTATTACAATGGAAATTCACTAAATTATACACCAATTGTATTCACAATATTAAAGTGGGAGGGTCATCACCTGCGCACGCGCGGGGAGTCCCAAGCGATGATAGCAACACATGCTAAAAATGCAAAGGCTCACAGGTAGACACTTGTTTGTAAAGAATGACACGCTATGGCCATCTGACGCATGCGCAGGTGATGACACTCCCGCTTTAAGACTCATTTAAGGTAGCGAGACTATTATTTGTGTTGAAAATTACGATTTTCACATTTATTTATTAATTGATGAAATGCACCATAAACTTTCATGTGATAAAGTCAATATAACATAGAATGTCATGTAAGTTGGTTAAAATGTAGATTCTCTGAAGGGAAGCAAGGCAGCCTCAGTAGTGTTTTCCAAAATCAACAACACAGGTTTAATCTGTGTGCCTATAAGTTTCAAAGATAAACTCAAGACAAAGCAATGTAAGGATGTGTTATCAGTAGCTATCTGACACACAATGAGTGTTTCCAAACATTTGAGTGGTTTGTCTCCGCCCCTGTTTGTTTCACAGATTAGTCATTTGCATATGAATGTGTCAGACACAAGGTCACACAGCCACTGAAAAAAATCATTGATTTTGGTGTTTTCATATGCCGAATTTATCCAATTATAGCTATCGCATTCCTTTATTTTTTGGTTTCCAATAGCCTTACACATTTGGATGTCCCTACACATAGTAAAACAGACCTTGATGGGAAAACAAATTGATTGTGCCGATAAACAAGCTTGAAATCTTTGCTGTTACTTCATGGACGTTTTCTAGGAGTTTATGTTTTTCAAAATACAAGGTCTTTAACAAAAAATAACGTATACTTATTGTCGCCGGATTAACACCAAATTTTCACAGCTTTAAGGTGACAATGAGAGGAACTTGAATGTGTCCAGACAAACTATTTCATCGATTATTTACCAACGAGTTGTGGTTTGAGTTGGGGGCAATGCGACTAAAACAGTAATTGAAATTCAGGACACTATTTTTTAAAACGCGTTGCTTGAATAAAACTAACCAGACACATTCAATTTACCAGACTATTGAACAACTAGGAAAAGTGAAAAAAATACTTCTTATCGCCAGCATAAATGTGTAATTTTTTTTTTTACAGAAAAAGTAATGTTTCACCTTTGATTGAGTAACGCGTCGTAGAATGCAGATACGGGCATGCAAAATACACTTGTGAAAAGCTTGAAGTCTGGCGATTCTAAAAATATATACTTTCCCGGGTCTATTTGTAGTCATTTAGTCACAATTAGAAGATGAAAACAAGTATGCAAATAATAGTCCCGCTACCTTAATTTTCATGACTTTTTCATTCAATTTAATAGCGAACAATTTTGAGATATTAAGAAATAATTAAAACCCAGAAAAAAAAGCCAGTTTTGGATTTGGAATCTTGTATCTCGAAAAATGTCCATTGACCCCAATAATTTTTTACATTCTGATGACATAACTCATAATAATAAAAGTATCATGACATGACATGAAATCTTTAACTTAGTACAAATGTGCTTAACACACAAAGGAATAATAGCTTCTTGTCATTGTGAACATCAGTTTAAACCAAGTGCACAACACATTTATTTTTTTTATTTTTTTTTATTTTAGATATCAGTAATTCATAAATTGCGTCTAGATTATAATTTTTTTTAATGTATTATTAATCAAAAATATTTTAAATAAATAGTAACAAAATATTGAAAGCCTTCAAAATTACAGTTAAAGGGGCACTACATGCAAAAGTGGCATAACAGTTGGGGAATACTATTGACATGTTCATTTTTTGTTTCAGAGGAAGTTTTTTAGATCCACAAGAACTTTTAATGCATGTATTCGAAAGCGTTATTCAATAAATGTTAAACTTTGAACTTGTTGTGGTATTGAATAATCTTTTTACAAAAAATCAAGAAGTGCAACTTTTTTTTTTT